ATAGTGAAAGAATTTTTAAATAGGTTTCAGAGATTCCTAAATAAATTCTCACTTCTAAATAAAATCTCTAGGCTGGGGCTGCCCAGTGCCAGCTCCTTCCACTTGACCACATCCAGCGCATAGCGGCTCGAATCGTCGACGTACCGAGTGCGTTCCGATCGGATCGATTCACAGGCGCTGCGAAGAGATGATGCATCTCTTTGCATTTTATTTCGCATCTACCACGGAGAGTGCTCTGAGAAATTGTTCGGATTAATCCTAGCCGCCAAATTTCATGAACGAACTACACGGCAAACCTCCCGATACCACAACATCAAGATGCTTAGCGGTCCACCACTATACACTTCACGAGGAGCTTTCTTTCGCGTACGACCTTTCTGTGAAATAGTTTATCACCGGCGAATTTTCCGGAACGATACGACCTATGGACCTTCAGGAAAAGAGCTTACTCCTTTCTAAAAGGCCGACAACGCACCTGTAATTGCGGTGAAAACCCTGGTGTTGCGGTTGTTCATGAGCGGCGGTAGTCACTTAACATCAGGTGAACCGCATGCTCGTTTGCCCCTCTCCTATAAAAAAAAATATATGAAAGTTTATGTGAACGAAACAAGTATTCCGTATTGAATACACACGACTATTATAGAAACTGATCTTGTCACTATAAGACTATATCTACAAGAATTGTCAAAAATGATTGGTGTAGGTTTCTTTCACCTCATTCATCATTTTAAACCTTTTTTGTTTTAACGTTTTTTTAAAGTGACAGGACTACTTAAGTTCAAATATTTATGTCGAAGATTTGGAATTTTTCTGACACCACTTACTCTATAATCTTTTGCGATTATAAGAGGGGTGATATTATATTTAGATTTATGTCATAGGATTAAAATCTGTTGAACTATTGCAAATAACTTCAAAAGTGCTACGCGCTACGAAAGTGCTACGGCAACGTAACGACCCACTACATCTCGTAGCACTTAAGCTCTCTACCAAAACACTAAAATTGCCATTGAAATATATTTTAAATAGAAATAATTCATACATTTTACTGTCATTAATAGTATATCATTACTCAAAGAATATAAGATTTTTAATGTCATGTTGTATTATTATTTTTTATTTTAATACAGGTGTGTAAAGGCATACCAAGAAAAACTAAGTTATGTATAATTGTTTTGTCCTTTTCCTTGTCAAACAAAGGTGTCTCATAGCCTCTTGTTTTTTATAAGGATAATTTATCTACTTGTGAGTTTCTTGCCGTTTCTTCTTACAAGGTCTTCCCTCAGAAAGGACTTTGTTGAAACGATGGCATAGCATTTTTTTTAAATTTCATTTGACTTTAAAAAAACTGCTTTGCAAAAACTTATTTTGAATAAAACATTTGACTTTGATAATCCACTCTTTGATAATCCTTTTAGTTTAGCGAAATAAAACAATTTTACGATGTTATTTTACAGTAAGTTTATGTTTGATATATTTTCAATACCGTAACGTAACGTAAAAATAAAATTAACCACTAACAGTGATTGCAGTTGGTAACAGTTTACCAAGTAAGTAATTTAGGAATTACAAACCTTTTCCTCGTCGCGCTTTTTATTAAAGGCTAAAATTATTTAACCAATAAGTCTGTTCATTCTTTGCAGTGAGATATGAGTACCTTAGAACTAGTCTACAACAATAACTTGTCAATAGCAAAACATTTAAATGTTTCATACATTAGCTTTCATTTCAAGTTCTAATTCATGCCAAGGATACATTATAAATACTCATTTCTAATCAATCAATACATACATTTTAAAATCAAAATAAACAAAATAAATACAAATACTCTGTAAATTAATTAATACATTTTAAAATTAAAATAAACAAAAATAAAAAAAATGAAGAAGGCATCTTATTAACACCCTGGAAGCGATTTTTCCAGACAACCTTTTTACGCAAAGAACTGTTGTTCAAGGAGCAAAGAGGAAAGTGTATATAAATTATACAATAAAATTAAAAACAAAAACACAAGATGACGAAAGTGGAGGTTGTGTAGGATAGATACGACAAAGGAAGTATGACAGGTTGTTGATCTAAGATGACAAAGATGACAGGAAATAATATATTTCCATTCCGAGTAGGTACTCGTAATACATTTTGAGTAGATTTATGAAGGAAAAAAGTGATAATGACACTTATTTTATGGTTCTTGACTCTATAGTGCGAGGTCCCTAAGAATTTTTTTTAAATATTTAGAATTGTAATTTTTTTCATAGAATAAGGGTAACAAACAAGCACATAGTCCACCTGATGGTAAGTGGACGCTGTGGCTCATAAACTTGATTTTTTCAAGTCTATGAGCGGAGTTGATGAGAGGAGTTGCAATCCTCGCTTCCATACTGTGTCGAAGGCCGAGGTCAGATCGACAAACACCGCTGTTGTCTTAAGTTTTTGTTGGAATCCAGCCTCTATTTGAGATGTTAATCACAGAACTTGATTACAGCAGCACATCTAAATTTAACCTCGCTTAAGAATCAAGATGCAGATGCGTTGTCACCCTTGAAGACTAAGATGGAATGCCTCGATTCAAGTAAAACGGGTTTCCGGTTCTCTACACTTAACATACGAAACACAGCAGCATTAAGCTACTATTTAACGCTGGTATTCTGTGAGAGCGTGGTCTTCCCCCGGTCAAGCTGACCAATCATGCTACAACCATAATAACTGCAGCGGGGCTCTACCACGTAAAATATTACGACTATAGCTCTTCACAAGTCCACTGTTAAACATAGGCGTCGTCGTCACTACATCCAGTGAGAGAATGCCTTACACTTCTCTTGACGGTACGAAGCTCCCACTCAAGAAGCTTTCTTACTGTTATATGTTTGTGTAAAATAAATGTTTAAGTTATAAAATATCAATGTTTCATTGTGACAGAAGCACGTTTAAATTATTATGCTTCATTTATGAGTTGCGTTCACATGCATTGCATGTATGACATTATTATAGTAATTGTACCAAATGGCGTATAAAGTCGACTTTTACCATCAAAAGAATTTGCCTACAATTACGAATTTAACTTTTAAGAATTACTTGCAACGTAGGCAATTATTGCAGTAATTTTGCATTGGAATATTCACGAAAGCGAGAGGAAATCACTGTAACTGTTATGATTTATAAAAATGGAATAGATGTTTTATTTATTTATTTTAACTCATTTTGAAAGTTTTCTTCATACAATGATTATTAGATATTAGAAAGATATTTATTTACACGCTAGTATTTATTTATTTATTAGTTCTGTTTTTTAATCTTCTTTATATTACATGAACATTGAAAAAAGTTTTCATATACGGTTTACATATCTATGATAGTGATGAAAATCCTACTGTATTAATAAAATTAGCGAGCGCTCGGTTCGCAAAGCACTCTTCTCCCTGGACGTCAGTAAGTAGAGTGGGTCTGATGGAGTCCCTCCCACTGTGCTGAAGTTGTGTGCTCCAGAATTGGCACCGGTTTTAACGCGTCTTTTCCGGTACTCCTACTCCCAAGGCGTAGTCCCAAATTCTTGGAAGACAGTAGTCACATACCAGTAGGTGAGCCGCATGCTCGTTTGCCTCCTCTCCTAAAAAATTATTTTCTGAATTTGATTACATAAGTCCATAGGTTACAGTTACTACCTGCTCTCAATGTGTAATGTCAGTTTATTTATCTCTGTAGACTTTTAAAAAACAAGTAGTAATCTCGATACTTTCAAGAAAAGCTCATTAAATATTATAATTGATGCCCATAAACAGGTCTTATCACCCATTAACTACAAGTGAGTGAAAAAATATAAGCGTGTTTATATAACACGCCAGCTATACCTTTGCTGACCCGTAGACGCCGAATGTAAGTTAACCTCGGCGATACCGTTTAAAACTTTTGAAATTATAGTGTATATATAACTTTGACGCATATATTTCTAATCTTCTTAATATATATAAATTCCGTGTCACGTTGTTTGTCCGCGATGGACTCCTAAACTACTTAACGGATTTTAATCAAATTTGCACACCGCATGCAGTTTGGTCCAACTTGAGAGATAGGATAGTTTTTTTGCCCCTGAGCGACCCATAATTTTTTTTGCAAATTTAACGTTTTTTAATAGGACATACATAGGGTCGTCGAAAATGGCAGAACAACGTCCGCCTGGCAAGCTAGTTATTATATATGTACAAAAATATATTTGTAATTACATTGTCACGGAATCTTGCAGATTCCATGACAGTGCCAAAAAATTTGGTATTTTAATGGAAATTTACAATAATTATATACAATAATGATATATTTTTGATTTGCAGATGTTTGCGTTCATCATCATCATCATCATCATCACTACAGTCCTTTACAAGTCCACTGCTGAACATAAGCCTCCCCCAAGGTATGCCACAAAGCACGGTCCTGAGCCACCTGCATCCATCAACTTCCTGCATGTCTTACCAGGTCGTCACTCCATCTAGTGGGGGTCGCCGGTCGTTCGGGGGTTCATAATTCAAAGAAATTAAAACAAGGTGTTAAAATATTATTTCATAGTTTTCTATTTATATGTAAATAAATTAATAATACCATTGTCATATTTAAATCAAAAGAAACTACATACAATATTGTTAACTAAAATTTTGCTCGAGCACGCCACTAGAACGCACAAGGGTGCGGTGGCCGGTCACCCCGCCATACGGCCAACAATTCCTTACCGTCACTCGATTCCATTCTCAAAACATAACCGGACGACTACATCTACATATTTTATTACCTTTTCTTAATTAACTCTAATAAATAAACTCATCCCCTTATCTTTGAAAATCGAGGCCCAATTGAGGCTCACAACCAAACCGAACTTTGTAGTTGGCGCCAATTTTAAAAGTAAACTATAGAATTGTTTTTAAAATTGCAAAATTAAATCTAGTTTAATTTATAATGCTTAAAACGAGTGTGATTTTAAGACTAGTAAAATAGTGTTCAGCACGTTTGGTGAAATGGCAAGTGAAGAAAAGCCTGCCGCGACTGCGGTAAGAAAACTTAATTATTTTTTAATTGGTATTTAATGCCTTTAAAATAATCTTATAAATTTACTGATATTATAAACCTTATAACTATTAGGAAGTTGTTGCTAAAACAATTGAATACTCAGTGATTTCATAAGGCTGTTGGACAAAATAATAAAATATAATCTTAGTAAATTGTGCGTAATATGTGAAACTAGTTAGCTTCAAAATTGCCTATTTAATTAAATTAATTTGCTGCTAGTGCATAATGTAGGTGACGAATATCAATATTTTTTCAATTTCAAAGAAACTGTGATTCATTCTTTAGTGATTTCCAGCTTTAAATGTTTCATTGGGTATTATAAAAGCAATAACTATATGTCGTGACCTCTGCCACGTAGTCACGCATCCAGCATACCTAGAACAAGTTAACATCTTTGGAAAATTACGCTTAAAACTATTTTAATGAATTAACAATTCTTCAAACTTTATTCATTACATTGTATAAATTACTGTGTCATTAAAAATAAATAACTACTATTCATCATATAACAATTAGTTACACTACGTAAGCGTTCATTCCAACAATTGTTATTTTGAGGCACTTAGTATCTAACAGTATCAAAAAATAAACTATCAATGAAATATGTTTAGTACTAATTATGTTAGGTTACGTCTATCATTTGATTGAAGTGGCCTGCAGGCGTGCGTCGGCAGTCGCCGGGCGGGGAGTCACGAGTCATGTCGCGTCGACAGCAAGCTAGACCGCGCCTACATTCGCGAACTCGTTCACAGGCTCCGGAATCCACTCCAGCTCCAGAGCCAGCCCCTGCGCCAGAACCAGAGCCCCAAGCGGCTTCGGACGACGAGAAGGAATCTGAATGGCGCCACTCTCGTCCCCCATCACCCCCTCAGCGTAATGAAGATATATCAGAAGGTTCTGAAGCCACAACGCGACCGGGTCGACCAGAACCGACGAGCCGCTACGCAAATCTAAACTACTGGAAGGCGAGACGTGTTACATTTTACCGCAATGGCGATCCGTACCATCCAGGCGTGGAGTTTCGCTTTAAACCGGGTCGAGATCTTGTGTCAATGGATGCGTTGCTGGACCGATTGTCTGAGCGACTGGAGCTACCAAGAGGAGCGAGGTTCATCTTCGGCATGGACGGCGATCGGAAATACAGGCTGGAGGAACTCGAAGATGGAGCGTCGTATGTAGTATCATCATACAAAACTTTTAAGGTACTCCTATTTTTCACTATAACCCTTATTAAATTGTTATCTAAAACTAAGCATACATTTTTAAGTATAATTTAAACTATAAAGTACAATGTTATCGCTTGACCTCATTCATGAATATTCTTATTGCATGTCGGACTCCATATTTAAAAACTTTGTAAATAGAAATTTGTGGTACTTATATTTCACGTTTCCTCCCGGCTTCAAAAGCTAACTTCACCTTTATGTGGTGCACCTAGCTGAATGATAAACGAAGCTTTGATGATTGCTGGCGGGAAATCTATTCAAAAACAATCCCATCAATAATGATGAACTTAATATTTTAATTTGGTATATGAAAAGCCTTGCAGCATGAACGTCACATGTCTCTAAATTATACTATTTTAGTTGACAGATGTATGGAATTCCTTTAAATGTTTTCCTTTGCTAGAAAAACTGACTCTCAAAAATATTGCATTGCAGTGATTCTGGTGGTGGTCGCACTCCAGTCTTAGCAATGACCACTATGTTTTGACTTAAATCTGATGTTAAAGTTTCTCTAATATCTAGTATAGTTATAGAACAATTATTCTGTCGTACTTCCCTTCCCTTCCCATAGTGTTTTGGCGGAGTTTACATGTCCTCAACATATTTTTTTGCTCAGACATAAATGTTTCATTTACGTTAATACGTGTTCACTCTAATCAGCCCATAAAACTACAACTAACTAATTCTACGGTGCAATTTATGTATGTAAACGAATCAGGAGAAAATCCAAGTGTGGGAATAATGTTTTTTATAAACAAATTTGATTGGTACCGGTAGGATTTCAAAATCGAGTTATCCGCGTACTGTAAAATATATTTTTAACAAAGTTAACAGAAACAAAAGTTATATAAATATTATGGTTGTACCATGAATTGGGTAGTTGTAGTTAGACCAGGGAAGGAGGGTTTTTTTACTTGAAACGAATCATCCCTTCTTGGTCCTCATGGGTAGCAACGCATCTGTGTTTTGATTCTTGGTACAGGATAGATTTAGATGTCTATGGGCCACAGCATCCACTTACCATCTGGTGGACTGTGTGCTGTAAATTATATGCAGGGTCATTCATAATTACCGTGTATCAATTGAATCAATGAGTTAGACGGCTTTGTAGCGCAGTATTTAAGCGTTTGGCTACAAGAGCCGTGGTAGCTCAAATGGTTAACGCTCGCTGTAAAAATACCAAACAGAACGCGAGTAACCGGGTTTCAATTCCCCGCGGCACCAATAAAATTGCTAGTTGCAATTTTAAGTGCTGATTTACCACGTGCTCGGCGGTGAAGGAAAACATCGTGAAAAAACCTGCACGTCTGAGGAATACAGAAAAAAATTTTTCGAAGACATGTGAAGTTCGCCAACACGAATTGAGGCAGCGCGGCGGACACTTTCTTGCCCTAAAACCCTCTCAGAAATGGGGGTAGGACTGTGCCCAGCAGTGGGACATATATAGGCTGTAACTTTACTTTACTTTACTACAAAGCTGCAGAGCCACGGGTTCGAATTCCGCACGGAGTAAGTGTTTCTAATGCCTACAAATAATTGTTCCGTGTTTGGATGTGTATCCTTGTCCCATTTATGTATGTAAGCCGCCATATTGGGTGTAACGCTTCAAAAAATTGGTTTTTTTTTTTTTTTTTTCGGTTTTATGGGGAAAGGGTTATCTCAATTTGTATAACTCCATAATACCATGTAATAGTTGTCGTGCTTCTGGCTATACAAATACTGAAATCATTAAGAAATATTGCGCTAAGGGTGGGAATGCACTATGCGATTAGGTTACGAAGTAGAAACCTATCATTTAATTGTAGATAACAAACGTTTTACATGCAATACGTTTTCCTTTATCTATAAAGCAAACATTCTTAATGCTCATATATCACTCGATTGCCTAAAATGAGCTGAAGAGTATAGTCCCTCTCATCGATATATGTGTACTACGCACTAGATATGGCATTCCGAACACTCACTATGTTTAATTGAACTGTACTGCGATCCGTACACCTGTAATTGTGGCTTCGTTATTCATGCAGTGCGGAGCGGTGCTAATAATTATTTTATATTAAATTAGCACATATGCAAAATAAACGAAAATTAAAAAAATGTATTCGATTAACAACACAATCTAATTAAACAATTGTAGCGGCGCTGTCGTCGCGCCACAAGCGAAACACACCGAAGCCTAAATCGCACTATCAACATTCCGAATCATAGACAGTATATATAGAACTTCTCCAAACTATCACACGGAGTGTTGGCTGCTCCCCGGGTACAACACCTTGCCCGGCGGGAGATCTCCCCTTTTCCTACCATGGCCACAGTGGTGAAAACCCGACGTGATCTGAACACGCAACCAACAACCTTCGGAAAACTTCAAGCTTTCACCATTGTCATAAAATACCCCACCCATTCGCTCCCGAGCAGATATAAACTGCAGTCTTCATATCCTGCAAGCCAGCTAGCTTCACAAGGTTCATCGCAGCACTGGAATAATAATGCTTCCTGTTCCTTCAAGCTACACTCTGCGCTACAGTGTTCGGCACGGCTCTGAGACTTAATGCTCGCCTCTGCTTCACGGCACTCTCGCAGATTACTTGCCTTCTTCTTGACTCACCGCAGACTACAAGGACTCTCCTGGCACTTGCACATTCGTCGACAACGAGACTGCACTATCGACTTCCGGTCTGAGCAGGGGGGTTGATGTAGCGGCGCTGTCGTCGCGCCACAAGCGAAACACACCGAAGCCTAAATCGCACTATCAACATTATGAATTATAGACAGTATATATAGAACTTCTCCGAACTATCACTTGGAGTGTCGGCCGCTCCCCGGGCAGAACACCTTGCCCGGCGGGAGATCTCCCCTTTTCCTTCCACGGCCACACAATTATTTATTATGACAATTTTCGCGCGTTTATATCAACTGCGTATGCACGACTCTACTGTTTCCCGCGCATACGTGGATACAGAGTAGCGCATATTTTTTGTTTGGAATAGCTTCTGTAGTACGTAGTACATATAATTCTATGGTCCCTTTATTATCCTCACTCACCAGGTAGTTGTGGGACTCCTTTTCTGCCTTCGCCTAGGTAGGTACAGACCTTTTAATTTTTCTACCTTCAAATAACAGTACGAGCACTGCTGTTTTCTCTCCTGAAGGGTATAAAAAGCAAATATATAATTACAGGCTGTGAGACATGTAAATTTTCAGAGGTGACAAAAATCTGTAGCTATACTTACCATTAGGTGGTTTGTAAGTTTGTATGTTACTTTAGTTATATAACATAAATCAATATTCCTACGGAATACGAAATACAATGTATAAATTAATTTTAAATTTACTATAGCACGTGAGGGTAATATGGTCATGCATATAATATGGTCAATTTCTTATAACTCAAAAACAACAGCCTTGTTTGCGTAGATGGCTTTGTGATGCGACAGCTCTTCATCAGTCAATCTAATAATATATGGTAAAAATCGTACATTACAAGCTCATGTAGGCGTCAATCAATTCCATCAATCATGATTGATAAAAAACGGATGGTGACTGATAGGCGTACATTACGCGCTCATGCAGGCGTCAATCACTGCATTACAGGGTAGGTTATTCGTCAGTAATGTACGCCAAAAGGCGACCGATTTATCGACGCGATTTTGACAGTTAACATTATTGTAAATGTTTTAATCAATTTAAGGCGTATGCAGGCTGTCAGTTTTACAACAATTACGGCTGTGATTGACGAATAACCTACCCTGTAATGCAGTGATTGACGCCTGCGTGAGCGCGTAATGTACGCCTAACACTCATCCATCCGTTTTTTATCAATCATGATTGATGGAATTGATTGACGCCTGCATGAGCGTGTAATTTACGCCTTAGTATTGTGAGTAGTTTTTTTTACGTTGTTTTTTAGAAGTGTTTCGAAGTGTACTTAACTAAACTATCTTTTCTCGAAACAGAAATGTAAACTCTTGCAGCCAGTAGACACATGTAAAACCACTTCTAACATAGAAGGTCACAAGGTGAACTAATATGTAATATATCACAGTCTATAATTATACTGACGGTATGCTGCTGCTTAGTGGTAAGGTACGTGAGGAAAATATGGTAACCTTAAGTTTTGCCGCCCTATAAAACCAAAATAAGGAAGAAGACAGTGACAAAAACACAAAATTGTATACTACAATTATAATATTAAGAAAAAGTAGCAAACAAGCTTTGACAATAATTAGGAACACTTCGAAAAATCAACTTAAAAATACTAACTGCACTACGCAATACTAAAATCGACTAAAATATTTACAAAAATGTCAACTGTCAAATTGGCGTAGATGAAGAATCGCCCTTTTGACCTTAAATTATTTGATTGACTGATGAGAGTTATCGTATCACAAAGCCGTCTATGCAAACAAGGCTGTAGTTTTTGATAAATAGGAAAGTGATAATATTAACCGGATGACCATATTAGCCTCACGTACCGCTTTTTGGGCTTGTAAACCAACTTAATGAACACTTTGTGTGTTTGCAGCCTTATTATAATAAACATTAGCGTGTATAACTCTTTAAGATGGTATTTGAGTCAACATAACGAACGAGCTTGAGCAGACGAGGCCGCGGCCTTGCGAGATGTGGGTCGAAGGATAAGCACCACGCACCGTCGCCACCATTTGCATTTTGATTACGAATTGTCGAAATTTGTTTTTCTCTGTGAATTCGTATGGCGGTTAATTGCAGACGAATTTCGTCTAATTGTTGTTGCTGGTCAGAAAGGAAATTCTGAAAACTATTATAGCGGAATAAATTCTTTGATAAAGGAAAGTTATTACTAAATACTTACAGTAAATTGTAAATTGAAATGTTGCGATCAAAAGTAGTTATAGATCCCACACATTTACGAAAAACCTTATGTATGAAGCGGTTTACAAAACAACTGTTTTTGTATCTGCTTTATGTTTTAGTCGTTCATTGATTTGTATATTACAACCTATTTCACAGTTACGTATTAGTCCCTAAAATCTAAGAGCCGCGTGACAATTACACTCTAGCGAGGGCAATGTACCACCTTGCACTTAGACTGCACCAAGGCGAAAGTACTAATGACCGCGCAACCTTTTGGCGCAGTCGTTGCAAAAAACTGAGATGTGCCTGACGCTTTTGTGGAACTTCGTTGAATCAACATTGATTTCATTTTGATTCCTTGATTTTAACACAATGATTTAAAAATGAACTGATACCGTTTTTGAAAATAAAATAATTCTTTTTAGTTAGTGGTAATAAAATTGTTCGTACACCACTAAATAAATGATAAAAGCTTAAGGTTTTCAAAACAATTTTAAGTTTAGACCAATGTTTGGTTTTTAATTTATAGATTATTAGTAACATAATATATATTACTATGTTTATTTTTTATAGTTTATGGGGGGAAAAAGAGCACACAGTCCACCTGATGGTGAGTGGTGTTGTGGCCCATAGAGATCTACATCTATCCTC